CTGATGGCGTTTGTCAGAAGAACAAATGGGTCATAACTGATAGTGGGATGGCGACATGAATGTCCTCAGACAGCAGTGCCGCCCTTCACGGTGTACCTCTACCTGGCTGGGGTGAGATGGATGAAAAATTGTTCATTCGTTAACGGGGGATATGAGGGCCTCATTCGAGTGTTGGGGCCTTCTATATCAGGAGGGGTCATCTACAGCATACTCTATAGCTCCCCTAACTAACGGATTCGTCAATGGTGATTTGGCAAAACAGACTAAATTTGACAAATGTAGCTTCATCAAGATGGTTGTTATCAATTGTCAAAGTTCCGAAGTTCCTGCTGGAAGCCGCTTCATATAACTGATAATCTAGAAAATCTCCCTATTGTGATTTACCTGTTGATATCTAAAAAATTTTTTTTGCATTGTTGCTAATTTTACCGTTTCAACATAGCACACAAGTTCAGTTGGCCAACTTAATTTGAATTTAATACTTCAGTTTGGTGAATGATGAGACATTTTATCAACGAATTAACCACCAACCACCGTTTATTCTCCACTTATTATTCAGAGTCACAAATGGTTCATAACTTAGAGGTTGCCCAGTTCATTTCACTATTCTTTTACTGATTCTAGATTTATTATTAGCTTCACATTTGGAGTTCCGTTTCCGATATGGTGGTAGACGGACGTGCCGATAACGACCGTCCACAAAAAAGGTACGCGGACGCCATTGTTGGAGACGGAATTCATTTCGTGTTGTGAATGTCCGCCTTTATATAACGTGCCAGCATCATTAAAATAATAATAGTGTTAATAAAAAGTGTTGAGTGTTAAAAGAAATATTACGCCCATTCACGCCGGTTGGAGGTCGGGGAGGACCGGATGTCCACGTGGGAGCAGGATCGCAACAATAATCTTTAATGAAGTAGACCTCCAACCTCAGTAGCACATTCCGGACACAGGCTTGCAAGCTGTAAGACAGTCTTTGTCCCCTGACGAAGGGTTTTCTATGTAACAGTCAGTTACGTTACAGAAGGAGCATATGCGCCTGAAGATAGGAAGCAACGACCATCCAAATTATATATAGAGAGAGAGATTCACACTTGTACTGAATGAAACATTATTTCAAATTCCAAAGCAAGTTCTGTATGATTCAATATTCTGAACTTTAAATCTCACTGTGATTGTTACGGCCACTGTAATTGTTGGACACATACTCTTGAATATATTATGACACTACATGATTTCAACTTTTTGACTGGTTAATTGCATTCTAACTTCTACTGCGATTGTCACTCAAGCTCTAAGATGCCGGGTATTTATACGTGGATCAATTATCAAACTTTGACTATGTTTTGTTAGTGTGAGAATATATCTTATTTTTCCGGATTGGAGGAGATTGATAGGGTTGAAAGGGAATCTTGTATGAATCATTGCAGTCTAACAGTGCATTTCAAAGACATTTAATTCAGTTCTGATTCAGTATTATGATTGCATCAATTAGTTTCATAATAATTTAGGATTTATTACTCATATTTTTAATCTAAATGACCTCAGTATCTAACAGCCTGTCTTTAAATCCATAATGTTCCGCATTTAAACCAACATTCATCTATAGAGATTTTTCAGTTACATTTTCTTACCTGTCCAGTTCACGATATTTTATGTACCTATGTAGCTTCCAATTATGTATTGGAGTGTATCACTATCTTTCAATTACTGAGTATACATTTCATAACATTTTTCTATGATTCACTACCAAATGAACTTTTTCCATTGATTCAAATTTTATGAACTGAAACAAAATTTGCAATCCTGAGTTAGTAGTTTCACAATCACTCCTCAAGTATTAGGAATACTTCATTGGATTTCTATACTGAATTATTTGACGAGTTCATATCAGATGATACTGTTGTAAATCATGCCCGAAAGAAAATAACGCCGGCCGCCACTGGTAACCATAAACCAAACGTGACGTAGCTAAGAGCGGGCGAATGTACAATGATTCCCCGCCACTCTAGAAGGAGCGAGAATAATGCTACCGACTTCAACGGAACTTCGGCGAAATTTCTACGGCATTCGATTACGACATTTAAAGGCTAGCCACGAGAATATCAAGATGGTCAAGGGGAGGCTACAGTGCGGTACGCGAAGTGATCTAGTAAAGCGATAGACACTCAAAAAATAGTTGAAGTATTTTTGTGTATCCAAAAAAAAGTGAAATAAAGTCAAGTTTGATTATTCAGTGTAGTCAATTATTGATCAACCCACGGGTAAAAACGTAACCTTTGGTGTCGGAAGTGGAATCATTGACTGACATCTTACTGTTTCATGGTGAAAACATGGAGTATTCGAGGAATCAAACAGCCCCTGTTCGTCACCTGTTGTGTTAGTGACTAAGAAAGATGGATCGACGAAATTTTGCGTAGACTACAGGAGGCTCAATGATGGATCCAGAAAGGACAGTTACCCTCTCCCTAAAATAGATGACACCCTGGAAATCTTGGTCGAATGTAGATGGTTCTCAACATTAGATGTGAAAAGCGGATATTGGCAGGTGGCCGTACGCCCCGAGGATAAAGAGAAGACTGCCTCTCCACCGGGAATGGATTATACTAGTTTAAGTTTATACCGTTCGGGTTATGCAACGCACCCGCAACATTTGATCGCTTGATGGAGTTGGTGTTGAAATGACTTACCTGGAAAACATGCTTGGTCTATCTTGATGACATTATAGTCACTGGAAAAAGTTTTGACGAACATCTGTCAAACTTGAGGAGTGTTTTCACTAGGTGTATTGAAAAGTTACAAACTTATGATTTTGAAATTCAACATCGGAAAAGAAAGTCACGGAAACGCAGATAGCCTCTAAATAAAACCATGCCTGACATCCGGATGCAAATTTTTCCAACACCAGGAGGACAAAGATACCCAGCTACCAGAAGAAAAACTTCCCACCAGACGTGATAAGGTAGCGGACAGAGACTCCTTTATGGACAGCTCTGATAGGGAGATAAGCTTCCCTACCTCCTGCCGTTTCGGGTTCCCTCTGACTCGGAGGATAGCAACCTGTAAGGGTCCCTTGTCCTGGGATACGGACAATTTGAGGAATCACCTGACCATGGTGTGGTACGATCGTTAACAGCCTCTAAGGGTGACACTACCTTCTTGACGAGGCAAGACACCATCGTAGCGCAGAAGGAGGATCCCGTCTTGAAAATTGTACGAGAATGAATTGCCAGAGGAGCGAGACCGGAATGGCAAGGGATTTCCTGCAGGAAAAGGGTTACTGTCTACAATGGGACTCCATGAGTATTCGAGATGACCTAGTCACTCGGAAATGGGAAAGCCCAGATAAAAAAACGCACAAATTTCAGATGATACTTCCTAAGACGTATATCACGATTATCCTCGAACAGCTTCACAATGTTCGCACTGGAGGGCATTTCGGAGTAAACAGAACTCTAGCGAGAGTGCGTGAGATGTGCTATTGGGTCAATTGCCGTCGAGACGTGGAAGAGTGGTGTAATCGCTGTGGCCTGTGTTCTTCGAGAAAGGGTTCGGAGACAAGGCAGAGAGGAAAGTTGAAGCAGTACTCCAGAGGGTGCCCTTTCGAGAGAATCGCAGTCGACATTTGGGGATCACTCCCTAATACCACATCCGGTAACAAGTACCTTATGGTTGTGATGGACTACTTTTCCAAATAGCCTGAAGTAGTAGCCTTACCCAACCAAGAGGCTAAAACTGTGGCAGAACGTAATTGCCAGACACGGAGTACCCCGAGAACTCCACTCAGATCAGAGTCGCAACTTTGAATCGGATTTGTGGAAGGAAATAATGACTCTGTTGGGAATAAAGAAGACAAGAACAACTGCTCTTCACCTACAATCCGATGGAATGGCATAATCGCACCATCAATAACTACCTCTCGATGTTTGTCTTCGAAAACCAAAGAGATTGGGATGAATTGGTTCCTCTTTTTCTGTTGGCATACAGATGCTCCCAACATGACGCGACAGGTTTTACACCATCCATGTTGTTAATTGGTAGGGAACTGAAGCTTCCCGATAGATGTACTGTATGGAAGTCCTTTTGATGAATATCGAGGGGTACCTCTTTCAGAGTATGTGAATTACCTGAAGTAGAGACTGGAAATTGTACACGAATTTGCCAGGACCAAATTACACCTTTCCAGCGACAGGATGAAAATAAGATTTGTCAAAAAGTCGCTGTCAGTGAGCTTCAAGGAGGGTGAAGGAGTGTGGCTCTACCAACCCCAACCACCGAAAAGGTTTGTGTACCAAGTTGCAGAGACCATGGCAAGGATCTTACTTGGTAATCAAAAAGATAAACGATCTGGTGTACAGAATCCAATTGTCATCCAGAAGCAAGCCTAAAATTGTCCACATAGAGAGGCTGAGTCCTTACATCGGTCGTGATGTCTCCTTTTGGAATGTTGTTCGGGGCGAACAACCTCAGGGAACGGGGTAGTGTTGTAAGAAAATAACGCCGGCCGCCACTAGTAACCACAAATCAAATGTGACGTAGCTAAGAGCGCGCGAATGTACGATGATTCCCCGCCACTCTAGAAGCTGCGAGAAAAATGCTACCGACTTCGACGGAATTTCGGCGAAATTTCTACGGCAATCGTTTACGATATTTAAAGGATAGCCACGAGGATATCGAGAGAGTCAAGTGGACGTTACAGTGCGGTACGCGAAGTGATCTAGTAATGCGATAGACATAAAAATAATAGTTGAAATATTTGTGTATTTAAAGTGAAATAAAGTTAAGTTTGATTACTCACTGTAGTCGACTATTGGTCAACCCTCGGCTAAAAACGTAACAATACCAATTATACAGTGGAGAAAAAGGCAAAATATTCTCTTAGATAAATCCAGTTTGTTCATGTCAGAAAACTATAATAAAGTTGAGGAGGTATAATCTAAAAATATTGAAAATAATTGAATAATACCGATACTTTCCAACGAAAATACACAAAAAAGCTGTTAAAATAATAAGTTAGGTTTTATTACATTAATTTAAAATTACATGGCCACAAAACATATAATAACTATGCTAAATAAACTAATCTATCCAAGATTAGGTAGATTAAGGTACTAATTGAAATAACACAGCTTTATCCAAAAAAGAGAACCAGTGAAAATCCAAAAACAGTTACATGATATTGTTCAAAAATATTTTACAATTTTTTTTATGAAAATTTTGGGAAAATACTAATATGCACATCAACAAACACGCTTTTCGTATGATATAAATCTGCTAGTGATTTGAAATCAGTGGATTACCTTAACACTAGGCTTATTACTGAAGCTATCCACTTATAAGCTTTCGTAATAGTGTATGAAATCCTCGAGAGAAATGCCAGATGAAATTCCTAAGTTAACAGCCAAATCCCAACAATACGCATGTCTTGTTGATGGTGCCAACGGACACCTCAGAAAAATCGTGTTTAGGGAAATTTTGCTCAGTAGATGCCTTAAAAACGTGGAATGTGTTGTATCTACAAATGGTTTGGTTTCAAATGAATTATAAATGTGATAAGGATGTTTGTACCGAAACTGTAACGAAATTAAAGGCAAGATTTTGCAAGGAATACCTCCTAAATATGAAAATATTAGCATAAAAATGAGTAATATTTTTAGACTTCACAGATCATACAATATTCTCTAAAATAAAAAACTATCGACTTGATGGAAAAATTAGTAGTTGATGTTATACAGTAGGGAAGAAAAAATAAACACAATAGTATTTACTACGTGTTAAATACAATTCAGTATGTATAACGGCTATGAATAACCCAAAATTCTTCCCTAGAATATCACTACCAACTGAACTGAATTTATAAAATACGTATCACTCAATAGCCCAACAAAGTACCACTGCTGAATTCTTCAGTTGCTCACAAAAGAATTCCTGAGGATTGAGCTAAATCATCCACTTCCTACAATCTTAGTTTTCAATGAATTCTGAATCATTCAAATCGACTTGAAAATTAACAACACCTCTATTTACGTATTACATACGTATGCCATTCAGACTAAAAAATGCCTCCACGAATTCTCAAACAAGTTTTCATCAGGATCTGCATCTCATACGAAAAAAATTGGGTACTTCATTGACCTACATATTGATCTGAACATTTGTTGATCAAGCACGATTCATAGCGAATATCCTGGGCATTGGGGTGAGGGAATGAGTAAAGCTGATAAAGTCATAACAAAAATAAAAAGACTTTGTACAAAAGCTTGTTGAATAACATGCACTTTATAATCTAATTTTCATTAATTATAATATGGAGGGTACCATATACACCTAGCAACTAACTCCAGTACTGTAGTGATACCATTATCGAATTCTAACTAATATCTCTTCACTGAATGTGTACCACTACATTACCGCACTATAACTGAATACATGAAGTATTGGACTGTCATATGCAAAAGTTATTACTTTATATACTGTTCAAGTTTTCAAAATATTCATATATTTCTCATTTTGCATATGTAGAATTATTATCGAGTTGCTTATTTAAGTACAGTTAAATAACACATTATGGAATGATTAGAATCCTATTAGCCTCAAATAATATCAAACTTAATAAATCAGTTTAACCGAAACTCACAACATAAATTATAACATAAATTAAATGCTGCCAGGTTAAATAACAATTCGGAAGTCAACTAAAAGTCCACAAATAAATTTAATATGATTACTCTTTCACTTCGAAATATTTGTAAGTAGGATTTTCGTAACCGTTTATCTGCATGTTTGCGACATGTCTTTCTTCAGGAGTTGCTGCTTGATCCACCTCAACAAATCCTTGGCTTTGTGGCGATCTGGCGGATTTACGTCTGGCAACTGCTACACCCACCACTATTGCCGCCATCAGGGCCATACCAGCGAAAGCTAAAGTGAAATAAACGCTTCTTCCGTCTTTGCGTCCATAGACTTCCCTTCTCACGGAGTATGTCTGAAAGAAAGTCTTCAATAGCATGAGTTGGATCTTTCTTTTTCACTGAATTATATGCTTGCATTCAGATCAGATGTTTGTTCTAAGAAAATGAATTTCGATCAGGATGAGAGAGTTCTGAGAAAATAGACTAGGGAAGTAATTTTGATTCTCAAATTAAATGACCATCACGTTTCGAATAAACCTCTGAATTGGTTTTGAATCGTTTAGACATTGGCATACCCCCACAATTCATCCATGATATGTCGAATTTGATGTTTCCGACGTTGGGAGTTCGACATCGTTTTAACAATATGATAAAAACGGATTTGTTTATTCATTAATTTAAAATAACTTTAATGTTATTGTGAATTTAGTTTCAACACAAGTAGTGGTGGTCCAATTAATATTTACATATAACTGAATACAATTTAGCCCATATTTTGGAAACCTCAAAAATGACACCTTCTTTTCGAGATTGTACCTATATAAAGTAACCTCAATTCACTTGATTCTTTTTTTCCTTAGAAAACCTTCAATTTCCTCAAAACTGTATAATTTTCACCAAACTGAAATAAACACAACTGTTTGCGAAGAAAAGAAAGGAAATAATAAAAAAGTCAGTTGAAGAGAACAAAATCGGGGCTGGTAGCCGTGGTCGAATGGATTCTGAAGTATCAAAAGTTTCGTCTGCTGCTGCGACAGATCTCATTAGTGGTATATGCGTTAACTGCGAGGATGAAGGTTACATTTCGAAGTCTCAACAATGACTGACTGGCGAGGTCGTGTTTACTCGTATTTATAATTTCAGAGGTGTGAGGGGATGGTGGTAAGGTTGATAGTGGGGTGGCAATGCGAGTTGTATTCAAGTCCATTTCTAGAGTACAGGATATAACGTCCTGTGGACCCGTATACCTTCTTCTTTCCTGTTGAAATTGTTATGCAACGGCCTCCCTATGAAATCGTTTGTGGTAATCCGTTGAATCAGACAGGACATAGGTTTCTTCATATTTTATTACGTGGTCCATTTGTACTAGATCGTCTTCTGACATTCTGGATTTCTCCGGTTGCATGAGTCGGTAGCCAGGCTTGGATTCTTGTATCCTGGTGTAGATGCTAGGTTTGGTAACTCTGATGTAAACTGAGCAACAGGAACAGGAAATCCTGTAAACACTTGTTGATCGTGCCACCATAGTGTGTTATGAATCCTATATAAAAGAAATAGAGGAAACTTACAGGCCGATCCCAAAAAATTCTGGGCTTATATCAAGGAACGTCGAAAAAACTGTAATGTTGCAGACGGTTTTGCTACTTTCTTCAACTCAACTTTCACGAATAGCGGTGTGCCGGTAAACCCCACACACTAGTTCCTGAGTATGACCTAGACATTAAGCTGTTTAGAAGAATCGAAAGCAAAAAAGATTCTGATATGCTTCAAGAAGATCTCAATAATCTATCTACTTACTTTTCAGTATCTGACCTATCTCTCAATGAAGTCACCTACTATCAAGGACTACTTCATTAAACATACCAATTTACAGAGAATCAATGAGATGAAAAATCTCGGGATCATTTTTACTGGTGTGTTCAGTTTCTCTCGGCACACTGAATACTCAGTATCTGAATGTTATAGAAAAATGAGCTTTGTCTTAAGATCTAGCGGTGAATTCAATCACGATACTTGTTTGTTACTCTTTAACACTATTGTTCATTCTAAGCTGGAATATGGTTGTGTCATTTGGAATCCAAAGACTTTTTTATATTCTGAAACTATTGAAACGATTATTAAGAACACTCTTTTTCAGAAAACACAATATTTGGCCTTTATTTATGTCGTATTCTAGGCAATTACAAGAATTTAACATGCAACCATTGAAAGGCCCCCGTGAGTCCTCGGAAGTGATTTTTGTTTTTAACATTCTTAGAAAACTGAAAGTACCTGAAATTCTCTATACTATTGATATTATTGTACCTGACATAAAACTGAGAAGAAGAGACGATCTATTTCGTTAACACAGTTAACAAAATGGCGAGGAACGTGAACTGGATACATTCACTATTACAGAGAGACAACTCCTCCAAATGCTCAAATGTGTCTGAATCTTTTTACGGTCATTTTATTATTTATTGTTTTATATTGTTATATTTTATATCGATTTTAACTGTATTAATGGTACTCAATGAATACTATATGTAAGGAACTTTTGAAAAAACTGTTCATCATGTAAGTGGAAACCATTCTGTTTGTTGTTCAGTATAAATACATTTCTATCTTATTCTAAGATTTGTGAGTTACATCTCCTTGTAGAAGAACTTCGTCGTCTAGACCAAGCTCTATAAGCCATCCTAAAAGAAGCAATACTCCAAATTCGACCACAATCCAGCTGTCAGTGGTTCGCATAGTCAACTTGCCTTGCATAAACAGAATCACAGGTTTCATCGGAGAACTGTTGAGACGTCATAACAATAGGACCAGCTCCAAGTCAACTGATCAACTACGTAACACTATCAGATTAGCCAAAGACAAAAGAGAATATCTGACACCCGTCGATGTTTACACCGGCGGTAAGGGCATCGTCTGTTTCTGTGGCTCGAGTCACATCGTAACTACCAAACGCTGCATCAACACCAATATACAGGAACACAAGCATAGCTGCTATCTCATGCAAATGGAAAATATCCGCAATTGCAGAACATGTTCTAGTAAAAACAGACCACGTCATAAAATACGAAGAACCTGCTGTCCTGTAAGCATCCGAACAACAAGCAACCCGATTAACAATACGAACCAATAAATCAAAAGTGCGGACCAATCAGAAGTGAGCATTGGCATTGACATCCCACCGTTACTCCCACCAACCTCTGAAATAATAAATATGAGTGAACACACAGCTCGCCAGTCAGTTGTTGCTGCAGCAGTAGCAGATGAGACACGTTTTTTATTACATTTGATCACGGCCCACTAGCCCGGGTTTTGTTCGCTTTAATAGCGGCTTCTTCCCATTGTTTCCCATTTGGTGATGTCAAATCTTTGCATTACGATCGCTGTTGGTACCTTCATATAAAATCACTCTTGAATAATGAGAGCTTGAACGTTTAATTGTACACTCGGTATACTTAATTCTTCAATTTAATTCTAAGGCTTAGTGACATGGGCGCTCAAGAAACCTAACTTGAGGACGGCAGAAGTTTTTGAAATGTAAATGTATAGGGGAGTATTGCAGATGTATTGAAATATTTGTATTGTCCAAGGAGGATATCTTATGAAAGATCCTAATTTTGAAATACCCAAATTGATACTTCTTTTACAGGGAGAGGGATCTATACCTATAGATCAACTAGAACACAAAAATCCATTCGGAAATTTTCAAGATTGGTGAAATTTCAGTTTAGTTGATTATCCATCATGATTGATAACTTCTCTAGAGAAGGTTGCCACGTCGATTTTTTTAGAAGTGTAGGAGAGATACTTTTTCATCAATCGTAACGGGTGAATAGCATAGGTACTTCCTTTTTGTCATCATAACTATTTCTATAACTAAAATAATGAAAGCAGAACCGCTTGAGACATGTGCATGATATGTTATTTTCAATTTTGTTTTTATTAGTAATAAAAATAAGCTGACTTACTGGCTCCCCGTGACTGATATCGTGACTCATCACGTGTGCTACTCTGATGATGTCTTGTCTATGAGACGCAGCTTTAGCTACTTGTTCGACAGCTTCCTGTACAGCTGCATCGTCTACTTCTTTGTTGTGCTCATCAGCAGCAGCTGTTATGGAATTGTTTGCGATATCAGAGACTGTGCTCTCAGATGTGGGTAGGGATGTAGTCTGAGAAAAACAAATATATTTATACTGAAGTTCATATAAAATCAGTTGGAAGAATCGATGGAATGCGCATCAGAAATTAAAAGTGAAGCCACCGGCATCGGTAGAATATAAATGAAGATCAAAAGTAATGGAACTAAAAGATAAAATGACTTTAGAATAGAAAAATATTTAAAAATATTATTACAACTAGGTACCTAGGTTCTGAACTTATTCCTAACTAACTGAGTGATTAAAAATAAATCTTACATTGAAGCTGCTTACCGATGACTTGTCTTCGGGAAGAGACTCATCTTCCATGTCCTCGTCATCAAAGTTGGTTATAGTCTTGCCTAAAGCGGCCTCAACTCGCTTCTTCTCTTCTTTCAGCTCGTACCTTTCCTTCTTCCTCTGCTCCTTCCTTTCCTTCTCCTGGATCCTCTGGCGCTCACGTTCTGCCTGCTTGTTGGCTATTTCTGACTTGTATTTATCCAAAATGGCTTGCTCAGCATCAGTAGTCATGGCAAGAAGCGATCCGGGAGTTTCATCTTTTGACCTGAGGGCTTGGATATAATCGTCCATCAGTTGACCAATTTTGGCAGACAAATCGGGGTATCTCTTCAGCATCTGCATGCTCTGGTTGACGGTTCTGTCGATATCGGTTAGACGTTCAAGTGTCCTCGGTTGTTCCCGAGCTGCGGCCTCGATGCTGTTGGCAAGCAGATGGCGGTAGTGGCTGATGGCGTGGGCGCGGTCTTTGTGGAGGGAACGGAGAAGTTTTTGGAGACATTTCTGAACACGGTGAGTCTAAAAAAAACAAATGAGGCTTGATTTGCATGTACGGTGAGAACTCTACAAGTTGGGTGTGATATTGATCTTAATCCCAAAGATACGCTCAACTCTTAATTTGCTCAGTATAGTCTAATGAACAATTGTATTAATTTGTATGATCAGTTCGACAAAAACCGATTTTCAACATTGTGATAGTCCTAGTTATATCTACATCTATCTATAAAAATCTACAAGTACTGCAATCCATTCATTTTATGGTATATTGACAAATTTTATGGACTCAGGTCAGTGCCTGGTTGGGATATTTTGCGGTCTCAGTCGGACATTCAACGGTGTCAATCATAGTTTATTATAAAATAAGCACACTAACAGCAATTGGTATTCAAAGTCAGTTCTTGAAGTGGATTGAATCACATTTATCTGGACGTCAATAATACGTTAGTGTTCAGAATATTACGAAAAAATCGGTAAATGTCAGTAAATCTGATTATATCTCTACCACTATGGGTGTGTCACAAGGATCTGTTTTGCGGCCCGTTTTATTTTTACTACCTATATGTGAATAACATAACATATATTAGTTCATCAGTACACCTCACAATTTATGCAGATGCCATTTCTATTCTGATATCTAACAAAGCAAATGCAGCTTCAGAAACACAATATAATAATATATTATCGAATCTTTATGAGTGGTTCTGCAGGAACTCAACGCAGAGAAATCATATGAAGTACACTTTCATAATAAACAAAAACAGTTAGCTAATATAGACATCAAAATTGGCAAACATCAAATTGACAAGGTGTCATGTGTGAAAGTTTTGGGTTTTTGTGTTGATGAGTGTCTTGGCTGGAAGAGACACTGTGATTTATATGCTTCGTAATCTGAGATGTGTTCTTACTCATGACCAGTTGACTATGCTGTACTTTGCTCAGGCAGAATCTCGCTTGAAATATGGCATTGTCTTTTGAGCAATGTCATCGGAATTTAACGATGTTTTCATCTCAAGAAAAAAATAATTCGTTGTATTGCTGGTGTATCGAGTACAACCAGTTGTAAGAATTATTTTAAAGAATTTAAAATCTTAACTCTGCCATGTCTGTTTATTTTTGAAGTCTGTTTATTTGTATACTGCAATTTGAAACCCTTTAAAACTAATGCTCAAGTTGATTCAGTCAATACAAACAACAATGATCTGCATATAACTTTAAAAAAAAAATGCCTTTTTCAACTTTCCATCTATAATTGGCCAAAAGATTTTTAATAAATTACCATTGACTATGAGGAAATCTTGTGATATACTGTTTGGAACTTTTGGTGTAGTAATGAATATTACTGGAGTTTTTTCCCAACACCAAATCGTTATTTTTACACCTCGACACGTGTTTCGATCACCAAGTGATCATCTTCAAGAGGAAGATATAGCATTGACAGTATTGAATCAAGTTTTTTATTCTGTAGATGAATATTTTTTGCAATGATTTCGGAAAGATATATGTATGTTCCTCTTTTGTGATATGAATGTTGTAGACTTAAATTTAGCTAGGTATTTTTACTTTTAGGACATTGGCTAATCCTATACAAATTATTTTGTCTTAAAGGAAATGAAGTCTTACTTACTTACTTTTATAACGTGTTACACAATTACTTGTAGGGCTTCAGTTGTTTTCTTTATCGCATGTTTCCCACATTTTTGTCTGAAGATGGAGAAGTAGAAAGCCCAAAACCTTTTTTTCTCAAAAACTAATCTATACTGAAAATATACCTCTAACTATGATGGAAAACTCGGTATGGGTCTAACACCGGTGAGATACCTACCGTTGAATCATATGAAGAACGAATTAAACAATGTGTATGGACTAAATCAGTCCAGAGGGTGAAGTTTAAAAAGTGGACTGTAGTGAAACGGAAAAATTGGCGGGAAGTAATTAAGCTGTGGAAAAGCTTCCAAATGAAAAATAACGGCAACATGATTATCATGGGAGCGAGAAGCAAAGATCGGTAGTTTCCTAGGAATACCTAGTGTGGGAGAGAGTTGTCTTGGAATATTCAGAAAGATCGTCATGCATATAGGAAAAAGGTGATGTTGAAAAAACTACAAGTGAGCCTTCTCATTCCGTGATCAAAGTATATACAGGTAATTACGCAGGAGAAACTTATTAATGCTTGTCAGGCCCAGAATTAAATTGAGCGAAAATGACCCATAAAATTATATGTAAACAAAAGTAGCAGAATATCTTAGAAAATTGATAAATTTTGCACTTGAAGAAAAACCACATTTTCCCTTGCTGCATTCTTATTTTGGTGAATTATCTAGATTTTGGCAGAGTGACCATGGTAAGAGGGTTATGCACTCTTCACTATTTTGTTGTTATTTTTTGCGTATTAGTGGACTTTCCAGCAAAGTGAGACAATTTATTACTTGAAATAGATGTCATGCAGAATATTGACGTGGAAAATGGTTTCGTTGAGTTATTACAAAAAAACAAGAGACAAATAATTTCATTTATACATTTTGTTGAAGGGGAGGAGTCCTTTCGTTTTTTAAGGTTTAGTCAAATACGGAAAGGTAGAAAACATATTGAAGAAACCATATGAAGTCATGCCGTATTAGTAACGATGATATTGGAACCTTTGGTGTGAAAGTTGAATAACTTTTTTCGAGATCAATTGCCCTAACACCAAACTGAAGTCCAACTTCAGGTATACAACCTCAGGTAATAAATTTTAGTATATAAGGATTAACCAGACTAGAATAGGTATCAATTTTCTTCTCCTGAGGATGCTAACTTTGTTGGCGAAACGCGCGTCGAGTGCAAAAATATCAGTTTGGTGTTAGGGCAATTGATCTCGAAAAAAGTTATTCATGCCGTATTAGACTGTCTGTGATCAACGATATGTAGTTGATACTTGATCCACATAAGTGGAGAAGTTTGTGATGATTCTGTATACATTTCTGGTTAATCCATTAGTTATTTCTCTCTTGAGAAGGAATTAAGTTTTTGTAGTATTGAAGTTATGAATAATTTGTTCAATGTCAATGGTATTTCTGTATCCTAATTTTCACATTCAACAAAAATATACGAAAATAACAGACTGCAGTACATCTTACATTTGGGGGTACATCATCGAGAGCCTGTGTATAACATGACATGGCCTCCTTCTTTCTTTGGTTGATATGGGCTAGCACGCGTTGCTGGTGCATGGCAGCTAGTTGGTGTTTCTCGGCATCGCCTTCTTCTTCGAGAGCTTGGACGGTTTGCTGGAACCTCTGAGTCATCCTCTGCTTGAATTCATCGGCTCCGGTGGGATCAGATTGCCTCATGTCTTGGTACCTTTCTTCCAAGTCGGACCAGTCTTTCATTACTCTGGTGACTTTTTCGCGGTGAGTTTCTTCTAGACGTTCCTGTAAACAATCAAGAATTTAGCAATAAGATGAAGTAGGTTATTAGAAGACATCTTGTCAATTTGTTGGTAGTAAATGTAATTCTCCAGAAGTGGTTTAGTAATAGAAGACAATAAGGAGCTGTACAAAGGCCTCTTCGAATTTTTAACTAAAAATAGCAACATTTTGGTTACTGCTTCTACTCATGGCACATAACTCTCAGAACCAGTAATCACTCCATGTTGGGGATGGGGACTTTTTAAAAGGAATGCACACTGCAAGTGTGCATTCCTTTTAAAAAATAGTGACCTTCACTAGCACAACACTAAATTTACAAATGATATAGGTACACCAAAATTATTTCAATTTTAGGCAAATGAATAACAAAATCCTCCTTTGTTTATTGTTCAGTTACAGGCGGAGACAAATCTAACAAATCATGAAGTTTGGTTCAGTCGCTTTTGAGTTATAAATGGTATAATTCAAACAAGTTTGTTTTATATCTTAGATTATAAGACATAATTTTCCTTGACTGTTGTTATAATTTATAATGAATGTGGTAACTAATCATGATTTTTATGTATACTTTTTAAAATTTCACCTCTACCTTATTCATTCAATGGTTTGAAACAAATTTTAATAATTAGGTGAAACTGGACTAATTAACAGTCAACATTAGATCTAGCAGCAATTTGATACAAACGGTGTTTTTCAAAAGTAACCAGAACTGAGGGTTGGTGGTTCGAAAATCACCACTGTTGTGGTACTACTGAAAACCGGTAAACCAAACGTCAACATGCTAACCAATAATTTTGTTGTGGTGGGAGAAACAATTGACAGATGACGGTCTGAATTTGGAATATTTGAACAAGTGATTGTTAAGAGGTACCTTATCACGTTTGTGTTTTTTTGAGAAAAACACAAAAAAATGCTAAGCCAACTCGTTTTCAGTAATTGAAGAATAAAACATATATACTCGTATTTTATTTCACTTATCTAGACCAGCAGAATCACATGATTTCCACAGCAATTTATCATTTACCTGTGCTTCTTTATAGCTGTCATGTTCATTTCTTGGGTCAAAATGAGTGAAGTACGGATCTGGAGTAGTATGAGAAATTGATTTAATTTTTTTGAGACAGAATAAGAAAGAAATAAAGTCTATTGATTTACATTATTTACAACATTTCTACCTTTGAAGTGTTTTGGACAGCAAACAAACTCGACACCACTGAACAAGGAAATTCCACATGGGAGGAGCATTGCAAATGATCGAAGCTGAAGTCCTTTTTCTTGGCAAGCATTTCCAGCTGTAGAATTCCATCGACCAAATGTCCAACAGTTACTTTGATTGTGGATGTGATCAAATAGGCAGTTTTCAGGCACTAGTAGAGCATCCGACTGAAACGGTCCCTCTGAAAACGTAATAAATTAGTATTTTTGTTTATTGTTTTGTTCTGTTCGAATATTCGAACGGAGGTACTGGATGTGTATGTTATACACAAAGAAACCGCAGTGATATATTTTTTCCGAAGGATATAGCATTAACTGTTTCGAAGGTAGCTTTTGTTTTCACGAATCCTTACAAAAAATCGAAGTGTAATCAGGTAATGTAGCGGGTAATTTTATTGGACCAGTTTTGCTCATTCACTTGTTTGGATAATTGTCGTCCATCCATCTTTGAACCAACCAGTCGTAAAGAAGAGATACCTCATATTGCTGAAAGGTAAAATCAGTTGAAAACTCATTTGGTTTTGTCAATTATCCACACCGGTAGATAGGCGGACGAGGTCTTTTAGATGGTCCCACTGAATCACCTGATATGACGCTTCTAGATGTTTTTGAAGAGTACGATACACAACCGTATTTCATTTCAGAACTCGTGGATAGACAAAGAGGGGCTTTCAACGAAATTACCCCAGGAACATTCCATAAAGTAGAAAATAAATTTATAAACAGATTTTATCATTGTCAATTACTGAATGGTAAACATTTTGAACATTCATTGGAAAAAACTGAAGTGAGTTCTGTACAGTGAATAACCCTGTCGGCCCAGTAACGACAATTGTGGAGATAAACTATATCATTCAAAAATAAAAAACAATCTCCCGAGAAATAAATTACATAAAAAAATTTCTTATCCCATCGTTCTTTCACAAAAAGGCGATCAATCGTCTTGATTTAGTTCTTGAACTACAACTTTTATGGGTATGAAAGCAGTACTTTTGTAATACTTGCCGGGAACGTATACAACTCCTGTCCGTCGTAGTGACCTAATTCAAATTTAACTAAAATTATATCTGCAATTTGTACAAATACTGCTATCTCTACAGTTCCATGAAATACGGGATTTTCACCATGTCCTTTTTCATTGTCAACCGAATTATCTGAAAGAACAATTCGTTCAGGCCAGTCTCAACTCACCTACACTGTAGGATAATGTACTGACACCTGTCAGAAAACAACTACCCTCTGGGTAATAGCACGAAGGGCGTTGGATTATACCCGGCAGGTGACAGGGCAGGATTCTTCACAGAAACGATTCCTGCATATGCTGTTATTATACCAGGAATTTGGGCGAGTCGGATATGCGGTTGGTTACCTCGTTCACGGGCAGATGGGGCGATGACAAATTTGTTGTTTGTCATTCGCTTCAGCCCAGTTTGAGGAATGATACTCTGAAAAGAATTCAATTTTCAATTATGGGAAATCATCGACTTCATGTTGACAATGGACACTATTTTGCACTGACGAGTGGCCAAATAGCACGAAACCGGTCTGCAAGTACTTTCCAATAAAAGAAAATTGATTCCGGCAGTTGTATCGCCAATAGCATATGCAGGAATTACTTTTGTGAAAACTCCTGCACTGACACCTGTCGGATATAATCCAACGCCCTTCGTGGTATTAGCTAGGAGAGTAGTTGCTTTCTGATATGTGTTAGTCCATTAACCTACAGTGTAGGTGAGTCGAACGACTTGTTCTTTCAGATAATTTGATTTACAGCCAGTCTTCAAGTATACCCCTCATTATTTGTGGAATTTACAACCGATCTAATTTCGCCCCCAATTCACGAACAATTTTCCGAGAAAGATGTCTGTTGGGATGCCGTTGGTTGAGCATCTTGGCAATCAGCTTTGATTATTTTCAAAATAAATTCGAGTCATTTCCACCCTTGCTGATAGTGAGTATCCCACCCCTTAACTGATGAATTCAAAAGGTTACGAAATAATTTTTAAGGAAATTTCCAAATGTTACACCACAATTCATTAGACAGGCTATGCCTATCTGGATCTTTGTTAAGAAAAAAACCCGATTCTCGCTAAACTGCAAAAAATTAAAATTGTTCCACAGGAATTTGTCTTTAAACATTAAGGGTGATTTGATGGTTATCAATGGGGTGTTATTTGATCTCTATTCCTGTACGTATAATTGGAGGATGATTATCTCGCTCAGAGACTTGAAGGTTTTGGAATAGTTTTTAGGTCAACACTTGGTCCCACCACATATTAATTTTGAAGCCTTGCGAAAAGTTCTTTTTCTGACAGTTCTTCCTCATGGTGTATTTTTTCACTGGCCCACTATGGACAAAGTACAGATGCATATATATCTGCATAAAAGGGCGATCAACCATATAGGGAAACAAAATAGACAAAAAATATTTTTTAATTGAAATCTCACTGGCACAAAAGTCCAATTACTTTTGTAAAATTTAAAGTTCATTCAAAACTATTTTTTACATGATTGTAATTCAGTGACATATGAAAAACTCGTAAGTAGGGGTGTTAGCGGTATAGAACTTTGAGTTGGCATCACTATTTAACTGGCGCCATTTTGTCAGCTGTCAAGTGATTTATGTTTAGTTTGGTTTGGCATTTAAACAAGAATAGGCTGACGCCTGAACAACGCTTCCAAATTGTGCAAATTCATTTTGAAAATGATGGTTCTGTTCGAAATACGTATCGCGCACTACTCTAAATGATAAAACACATCCACAGAGAGGTCGTGCAATGCGTAAAGAAGAAGTCATTGCTCCTGTAGAGCGTAGCGTAGAGGAAAACCCGAATTATTGTGCCCAGGAATTGGGTATGTGTCCATCCACTTTATGGAAGATTTTGCGGAAAGATCTTGGTTTGCGTGCTTACAAAATCCAACTCGTGCAGGAATTGAAGCCACACGATCACTTAGCAAACCGTAGATTCGTGAATGGTCCCAAAACAAGATTGCCGTTGATCCCGATTTTCATAAGCGAATTTTGTTTGGCGATGAATTCAATTGAACAACCATGATGCACAGGAGGCGTGGTTTCAACTAGACGGCGCAACGTGTCACACAGTTCATGCCTTAATTGATTTATTGAAGGAAACATTTGATAACCGAATAGTTTCACGTTTCACACCTGTAAATTGACCTCCAAGATCGTATGATTTAACGCCGGTAGACTATTTTCTTTGGGGATATGTGAAGCCGATGAGCCCTAAACGATTGACGAAAATTGGACCTCCAGATTAGATTACGTCCGAGCTAGTCGTGGCGTTCATATGGCAAAAGTCGTATTTAAATTATAGTGCCAGAAGATTATCTTTTGAATGAAGTAAATTTCATGTCGATGTAAAAATTTATCTTTGTTTTATTCCATTTCGAAGTTTTATACCTCTATAAAAACACCTTATATTATTTTGCAGTTTGTTAATGTTTCATTTACTCGTACACACTGCTTCTTTTTATACGGTAAATCCAAGCTCAACATCAAAACAACGCTGAAGGAAAAGTGGAAACTCATCTTTCCATTTACCATGCCTCTAGAAAATCTGTTAGAAATACACACCTAAGCATCGGAATGGCTTAACCCATCTTGCTGTCTTGCATTTTCCTCGAGATTGTGCCCCGGGCGACGAGCCAGCTCGACACCAAGACCCAATTTTCAGATAGTGACTGCTTTCTACGATGTTGGTTATATCTCTTTTCGGATATACCTGAAACAAAATAAAATTGAAATTCTGCTCTTTATAAAGACCCGCAGATTAATTTTAAAAACAGCAGAATCAAAGATATATATTTTCAATTGATTATAATGATGATAATAATTTTTATTTCCCGGCCGAAAAGAAAACAGCAGATTTCGTATCGGAACTGTCGAGGAAGAATGAAATTGCCTCCAAAATATGTTTGCCTTTACAATTTTACTCGACTTCTTTGTTTGAGTGAAGTGGACTCTTTTCCTACCTCCACAATATTTTCTGTGTTGAGCCAATGACTGCAGAAACATTCATTAAAAATCGTTATAAATAAATGTGAATACTGGACAATGATTTTTTACATTTAGTATCTTGTATGAACTAATAATGTTTGCTGAAATATAAAATTGTAAGATTCATAACAAATATCGATAACCTACTTTTATCGTAAACAGAAAAAGTGCTATTTATATTGGTGGGGAAAAGCTGAGATGCTGATAAATTAAAATATAAAAACTAATCTAGATAATTAACCTCTGATGAGGCATCGGAAATTTAATTAAGAGCTAATGGCGATCTAAGCTTCAATAGACCATTAAATAAAACGGTAGAAGCTTGTTTAGGTCGTAAGCGTTATTAATAATTAGTGCATAATTTAGGAATTATCTGGTTATTATTTGTACAATAACTGTACAGTATAGATAATACAGATTAACTTTGAATTTTATTGATATGATCGTGAAATGAATATGAATGCATAAAAAGCAATGTGAAAGTCGTTTGTGATAAATCAAATACTATAAAAAACTATATTATAGTGGGATAACTTTTGAAAATAACCTCATGAAGTAAAAAAAAAGTTTGATTTCTTATGAATATAAAGTTTTCAGGATACTTCTCCTTGATTATGAAAAACTCTACTGACAAAAACTTGAAGTTGGAAAGCTTGAAAAGTTTTGAAACAGATGATTTTTCATAGATTTTTTATTATGAACAAACTTGAAGTCATTGAAAGTTATTTCAATTTTCTACTTGAACCTTCTTTGAATCTATGATTATAATTGAAACTCAATTACGTGAAAATTACACCAGAGCGTAGAACTAGATCCTTAGTTGACGTTGACGAAATATAAAAAGGCGAATTTTTACTTTTTTGGTTGAAATTCGCATATTATTGTGAAAATCTTTTTTGATTTTTTTACAGAACAAAACACATCGAATATATTGAAATTTTTCCCATTTTTCATCACTATTTCCTAAAATATTGAAGTTATGGGTTTAAATGAAGAAATGTACAAAAGGAAAATAACAGTACATTAAGGATTATATAACACTACAAAAAACATTTTTACATAATAAATATGCATGTTATGTGGTTTTATTTCTAATATAACATGCATATACATAGTACACAGAATATTGACTTACATAAAAAAAAAGATTCACAATAAATAAAAGTTCAAATCAAAAGTATTCATTTAACATAAACACTACAGACGCTCTTCGAGCGGTGCCTGTACGAAAGTAGCGATTCACATTGGATTTGAATGGCTGGAAATTGAATCCATTTGGAAAAACGCTCTCAGGAAGTTTATTCCACATAAATGCAGCTCTTCAGATCAAAGAGTTCTTGAAAAGTGAAGTTTGAGGTGTACTGAGTTGAACCTCGAAACGATGAGCAGCCACAGTCCGTCGCGTATTTATGATATGTACCGCTCTTGGTGGAATCAAATGTGTCACGTCACTTGAACACCTCCCGCGAAAGTATCATTAGAAGAGGGACACATCTCAAACCTTTCTTCGATGTTCCAGGCTATCAAGGTTGCACGTGACGTTCGCGTCTCCAACCAGGCGGATAGCTCTTTTCCGGATGGAATCCAGCAACTTCAGGGTATGTTTGGGGGCAGCGCTCCATACATGAGAACAATACTCCAGAGAAGGTCTGATCTGAATAGAGTGAATACAGTTTTCTGGTTCGGAACAGTGTTCCAAGCTTTTGAGAAGCAGCTTCTGCAATTCCAGCGACATGATTGTACCAAGACATATTGGTGTCCATTTTAACTCCCAACAAACGTAGCGAAGCAGAAAGTGGAATTGTCTGACCTGACATTATTATATCCGGTTCGGAGACATTTATCTTCTTGGAGAAAACCGATCCTGGGTTTTTGTGGTATTGAATTGAACCTGGTTACTTTAACCCCAATTCGAAATCATTTCTAGATCCTCATTGGATATGCAACCTCCTGCTGCCGATGAAGATGTGCCTCCACAGCCGGTGTCCTGGAATCCAAATGAAACGACGAGACAAGTGTGCTGTCGCCAACAAAACAATATATTGGATTATTTGTTTTTTCAATAAATCGTTGATATACAATAAAAAGAGGGTTGGAGGATTCTTTAGGCGTGTCTTTTAGGAGTGTATTGATATGCCTGAAGAGCTATTGTATAGCGAAACACGTGTTTCTTGAATACGTTATGGATTTTCAACAGTGTTCAAGTTTTGAAAATATATGCAAGATTTTACCCTGAAATAAATATTGATGGGTCAGAGTGATTTTTTTCTAAATGTAAACTGTAAGAAATCAGGGTTGTGTCATTTTTACTGGCCACCTCCTATAATAAAATCGGTTGATGCAATCAATTTGAAAGTTATCGTATTCAATATATTTTTCCATTCAAAAACAATCTGTAGTTTTCAACAGTTTCCTTTTCCATTATATGATGAATAATACAGCCCTTCACTAAATATCATTTTGTTCACTCTAAAAATAAATTAACTTGCTCATCTTAAATCAACCCTGTTTTATGTTCAGGTTGAACTGTTTATTGAGTTTGTCAAACCTTGGATCTAATATAGAAGCGAATCCGCGAACTGAAAACATTCCGTCGAAAAATGAAACGAACTATTTCACCTGGATAATCGTTTGAGGTGTAAAATGCTGGAAACATATCTCTATTCGGTTCAATGGTTGTATATCCAAGTGGCACACACAGGGTCTCAATTTTAAAAAATGTCCACCCTTGTATATTCGGCCCAGAAAAAAAAATTTAAATATCGGAAATGTTTATCGAATTATATTTTTAACTATAACCTAACCTAACCATTCATATAGGTGAACCAGATATACAGTTAGGATGATTAAAAAATGCACATGCATCATCAACAAATACGCGACACAAACATACGTTTAGTTCATACAGTATCTTTTTATTCTAAAAGGGAAACGAAGACTAAACAGTTGAATCAGAGAGAGTTTTTTTTGGATGACAGCTTGCACTCCGTTCTTAGACCCACAGCACTTAGGCCACATGTGACCCATTGTACATCCTCCCGAGGAGTTGTCCTCCTAGGTCATCGTCCATCCTGTCCTTTCCAGGAAGGTGGAAGGTAACTAGGAGGATCTTTACAAGATGTTGAACAGTTCATAAAATATTGGAAAACATAGTTTCATCGTTTGTTCGAAGGTGATTGACAATGTTTCAAATGAAAAATAAAAAGTGGAGAGATTCCAAGTCACGTTAGTTCACGACGTTTCGATTGTCAGTATCTACAATCATCTTCGGGTGTTTCATTTGTTTCAGGGATTTCAAATCATTTTATATAGTAGACAATGGAAGTCCGAACTAGTGAAATTCCTAGAGTTTCATTTTGTACTTTCCAAAGGCTGTAACTTTTTTGTGTGCACATTTGCATTGAGGTGAGTTGTATTCAATCGAGTTCTCTGGTATCTGTAGAGAAGAGAGGGTGAGTGTAGACTCATAGCACTTAGACCACATGTGACCCATTGTACATCCTCACGAGGAGTCGCCTCCTAGGTCATCGTCCATCCTGTCCTTTCCAGGAAGGTGAACAGGTTACTAGGAGGCATCTCCTTTACATTGGCAGGTGTAGGCCAAGACTCGCCGAACACACACTCTCTTTGGCAACCTTGAGTTGTCTCACGGTGGCCTCCGCGAAGGTTTTGGAAGGTGCAGCGACATTACTGTCGTTGCGCGGCTTCTTCAAGCTTCTTGGGGTTCCCTCCGTAGAGATGCACAAGTGACGGAGCTTTCCTGCAGGGACAGCCGGTTCCTTGCCTTCATTCAAGGCACAGCTCTTGGCGCCCGCCGCCGGAAGTGCCCTTGCTATTGGAGGTACAGAAAGAGGGTGCACTTATAGTTGCTGTCACTCCTGCCTACTTCGCTATCTTTCTCCTTTTGGCCTCGGCGCCGCAAATGCCCTTACGCCTTGGCCTTTGTATTACATCACGACGTGATCTGCTATGTCCAGCCTCCTTCCAAGCGGTAGATTGGGGTGGACATTTCTGTTCATCCCCAGCCACCGCCTTAGATTGGGATGAGCACTTCTGTCCAGCCTCCATGTGTGTTCCCACGAGTAGCAAGGGAAGAGTTGGTCACCTCTGGCAGAGCCCCGCATACCAGAAGTAGGCTGATCACAATGAGGTTTCGACCAGTTCCTCAAGGGGATAGTTCGCAACCGCATGTCACCCAGCGGTCATTCAGCTGTCGGCACGATTCCTAACACCTTAGCTTGGGTCAGTTACCTAAAAAATGAATTCAAAGGAAATGGGTATAGCGAAGAAGAATTCAAGAAGGCCAGTGAGAGAGGGAGAGAGAGAGCGGGCCAGAGAGACAGAGAGAGAGAACGTCGAAGTAACACCAGCTAGACCGGATTGGGAAAATCTTCCTAATCGTTGGAAAAGAGGATGATGTCATGATTCGATCCGATCTAATACTGCTTTAATTAGGTACTTCATCACCTGGATGATATTAGTTAATGACAAAGCCCTTGCATCTTAATCAGTGTTGTTATTAGTAAATTATACGTAGTGTATGAATCAAAACAGTTACTTCAGTTTTTTCTTCCAGTAAAACGAATGAGCCAATGCGCTTTTCTGTTATATAGGAGTAGTTACCTGAATGTAAAGACCAATTCCATATTTGCAAACTATCTTTTGACAGAGGTGCACGAGTTCAACAACGACTTAAAATATATTGCATTTGGAAAATGAAGGTTTGAAACTTATTCAAGAAACACTCCATTGTGAGATTTCCACTAAACACTTTTACATAAATGCAACATGTGTTTCGCTGTATAATTGCTTCTTCAGGCGTGTCCAAACTCGTGTCTATACATGATGGAATCGGCCGATACTTGATGAAAATCCATAACTAACGTATTCCAAAAACACTTTATTGTGAGATTTTCACTAAATTGTTTTACAAAAACGCAACACGTGTTTCGCCATACAATGGCTTCATCTGGCGTGTCTTTCAACNCACCTCTACCTTATTAATTCAATGGTTTGAAACAAATTTTAATAATTAGGTGAAACTGGACTAATTAACAGTCAACATTAGATCTAGCAGCAATTTGATACAAACGGTGTTTTTCAAAAGTAACCAGAACTGAGGGTTGGTGGTTCGAAAATCACCACTGTTGTGGTACTACTGAAAACCGGTAAACCAAACGTCAACATGCTAACCAATAATTTTGTTGTGGTGGGAGAAACAATTGACAGATGACGGTCTGAATTTGGAATATTTGAACAAGTGATTGTTAAGAGGTACCTTATCACGTTTGTGTTTTTTTGAGAAAAACACAAAAAAATGCTGAGCCAACTCGTTTTTAGTAATTGAAGAGTAAAACATATATACTCGTATTTTATTTCACATATCTAGACCAGCAGAATCACATGATTTCCACAGCAATTTATCATTTACCTGTGCTTCTTTATAGCTGTCATGTTCATTTCTTGGATCGAAATGAGTGAAGTACGGATCTGGAGTAGAAACGGTAGTAGTTCTCGTGGTCGTTGTGGTTGATGGAGTTGTCGAAGGAGTGGTTGGTCTATATCCCAAGGTGGTACTGGACGGTGTGGTATCCCAGTCAAAATTGTCATCATACATATCATCATCTTCATCGTCATCTTCGTCATCCACGTTGGGATCATCTGAGAGTTCTGTATCGTCAGCAAGGTCTTCAAGATCATCTTTGTCTTCTTTATCGTCATCTTCATCTGAATCGTCAGCATCGTCGTCAACTTTGTCGAATACTTCTTGTTCCTTTTTTAGGATGGTCAGATCTACTGGTTTCTTCGGTTTGACATTGTCTGCAAACACATATAATTGGATTTTGTTGATATTTTCTCTTCTATATGATTTGAGAATTCAACAAGGACGTGCTTTTTAATGTTTACCGTATTTCATCAAGTATTGGCCAAATATATTATTATAAAAAAGAATCCATGAGAAATTGATTTAATTTTTTTGAGACAGAATAAGAAAGAAATAAAGTCTATTGATTTACATTATTTACAACATTTCTACCTTTGAAGTGTTTTGGACAGCAAACAAACTCGACACCACTGAACAAGGAAATTCCACATGGGAGGAGCATTGCAAATGATCGAAGCTGAAGTCCTTTTTCTTGGCAAGCATTTCCAGCTGTAGAATTCCATCGACCAAATGTCCAACAGTTACTTTGATTGTGGATGTGATCAAATAGGCAGTTTTCAGGCACTAGTAGAGCATCCGACTGAAACGGTCCCTCTGAAAACGTATTAAATTAGTATTTTTGTTTTGTTCTGTTTGAATATTCGAACGGAGGTACTGGATGTGTATGTTATACACAAAGAAACCGCAGTGATATATTTTTTCCGAAGGATATAGCATTAACTGTTTCGAAGGTAGCTTTTGTTTTCACGAATCCTTACAAAAAATCGAAGTGTAATCAGGTAATGTAGCGGGTAATTTTATTGGACCAGTTTTGCTCAATCACATGTTTGGATAATTGTCATCCATCCATCTTTGAACCAACCAGTCGTAAAGAAGAGATACCTCATATTGCTGAAAGGTAAAATCACTTGAAAACTCATTTGGTTTTGTCAACTATCCACACCGGTAGACAGACAGACGAGGTCTTTTAGATGGTCCAACTGAATCACCTGATATGACGCTTCTAGATGTTTTTGAAGAGTACGACACACAACCTCAGTTCAATTCAGAACTCGTGGATACAAAAAGAGGGGATTGCAACGAAATTACCCTGGGAACATTCCATAAACTAGAGAACACATTTGTAAACAGATTTTATCATTGTCAATTACTGAATGGTAAACATTTTGAACATTCATTGGAAAACACTGAAGTGAGTTCTGTACAGTGAATAAGCCTGTCGGCCCAGTAACGACAATTGTGGAGATAAACTATATCATTCAAAAATAAAAAACAATCTCCCGAGAAATAAATTATATAAAAAATTTTCTTATCCCATCGTTCGTTCACAAAATACGGGATTTTCACCATGTCCTTTTTCATTGTCAACCGAATTATCTGAAAGAACAATTCGTTCAGGCCAGTCTCAACTCACCTACACTGTAGGATAATGTACTGACACCTGTCAGAAAACAACTACCCTCTGGGTAATAGCACGAAGGGCGTTGGATTATACCCGGCAGGTGACAGGGCAGGATTCTTCACAGAAACGATTCCTGCATATGCTGTTATTATACCAGGAATTTGGGCGAGTCGGATATGCGGTTGGTTACCTCGTTCACGGGCAGATGGGGCGATGACAAATTTGTTGTTTGTCATTCGCTTCAGCCCAGTTTGAGGAATGATACTCTGAAAAGAATTCAATTTTCAATTATGGGAAATCATCGACTTCATGTTGACAATGGACACTATTTTGCACTGACGAGTGGCCAAATAGCACGAAACCGGTCTGCAAGTACTTTCCAATAAAAGAAAATTGATTCCGGCAGTTGTATCGCCAATAGCATATGCAGGAATTACTTTTGTGAAAACTCCTGCACTGACACCTGTCGGATATAATCCAACGCCCTTCGTGGTATTAGCTAGGAGAGTAGTTGCTTTCTGATATGTGTTAGTCCATTAACCTACAGTGTAAGNAGCCACATATGCTCTTTTTGCTCTACTCTGTTGGTGAGAGTTCCATGTTAGCTATATTGTGCACAGTTTTGAAAATATAATGATTTTATGAATTATTGAAGGTATCGAAAACTACTTCAAAAATTTTCTGTAATTGCCACTTTTGTAAATTAGATCACTTGACAATTTTCGATGTTCCCATCGTTTTTGAGTTATTGGGGAAAATATTGATTTTTTAAATAATCAAGAAATACTTTGTGAGATTTTCACTAAATTATTTTACAAAAACGCAACACGTGTTTCGCTATTTTTCTTTAAAGACAAAACGAATTAAATCAAATCACTTTATTCCTTTAAGACAACATACAGTTGTATAAGAAAGAGTCATGGTTAAAGCCGCATGGTAGTAAGGTCGGGTTTAAATGAAGAAATGTACAAAAGGAAAATAACAGTACATTAAGGATTATATAACTGTTTATATAACTATAAAAACATGTTTACATAATAAATATGCATATACATNGAAACGAACTATTTCACCTGGATAATCGTTTGAGGTGTAAAACGCTGGAAACATATCTCTATTCGGTTCAATGGTTGTATATCCAAGTGGCACACACAGGGTCTCAATTTTAAAAAATGTCCACCCTTGTATATTCGGCCCAGAAAAAAAAATTTAAATATCGGAAATGTTTATCGAATTATATTTTTAACTATAACCTAACCTAACCATTCATATAGGTGAACCAGATATACAGTTAGGATGATTAAAAAATGCACATGCATCATCAACAAATACGCGACACAAACATACGTTTAGTTCATACATTATATTTTTCTTCTAAAAGGGAAACGAAGACTAAACAGTTTAATCAGAGAGAGTTCTTTTTGGATGACAGCTTGCACTCTGTTCCAATAGATAGCTTTGATTTTCAGACAATTTGATAGTTTACATGTCTTCCTGAGGAACTCAGTCACCAAAAAATCTGTATCTGTGGAGTAGGGAGGGTGAGTGTAGACCCACAGCACTTAGGCCACATGTGACTCATTGTACATCCTCCCGAGGAGTTGTCCTCCTAGGTCATCGTCCATCCTGTCCTTTCCAGGAAGGTGGACAGGTCAATAGGAGACATTTCCTTCACATTGGCAGGTGTGGGCCAAGACTCGCCGAACACACAGTCTCTTTGGCAACCTTGAGGTGTCTCACGGTGGCCTCCGCGAAGGTTTTGGAAGGTGCAGCGACATTACTGTCGTTGCGCGGCTTCTTCAACCTTCTTGTGTACCGTAGAGGTGCACAAGTGACGAAGCTTTTCTGCAGAGGCAGCCGGTTCCTTGCTTTAATTCAAGGCGGAGCTCTTGGCGCCCGCCACAGGAAGTGACCTTGGAGGTGGAGTGGGGGAGGAGGAGGGTGAACTTATAGTTGCTGCCACTCCTACCTCTTTCGTCCTCTTTCTCCTTTTGGCCTCGGCGCCGCAAATGCGCCGCCTTTGTATTACATCATGAGGTGATGTTATGTCCAGCCTCCTTCCAAGCGGTAGATTGGGGTGGACATGTCTGTTCATCCCCAGCCACCGCCTTAGATTGGGGTGAGCACTTCTGTCCAGCCTCGGGATTGGTTTTTGTTTTTGTTGTTTCTGTTTTTGTGTTTGTTTTATTTATGTGTGTTCCCACGAGTAGCAAGAAGAGTTGGTCACCTCTGGCAGAGCCCTGCATACCAGAAGTAGGCTGATTACAATGAGGTTTCGACCAGTTCCTCAAGGGAATAGTTCGTGACCGCATGTTACCCTGCGGCCATTCAGCTGTCGGCACGATTCCTAACACCTTAGCTTGGGTCAGTCACCTAAAAAATGAATTCAAAGGAAATGGGTATAGCTAAGAAGAATTCGAGAGGGCCAGTGAGAGAGAGAGAGAGAGAGAGAGCGGGCCAGAGAGAGAGAGAGAGAGAGAGAGAGAGAGAGAGAGAGAACGCCAAAGTAACACCAGCTAGACCGGATTGGGAAAATCTTCCTAATCGTTGAAAAAAATGATGTCATGATTCGATCCGATCTAATACTGCTTTAATTAGGTACTTCATCACCTGGATAATATCAGTTAATGACAAAGCCATTGCATCTTAAACAGTGTTGTTATTAGTAAATTATACGTAGTGTATGAAACAAAACAGTTACTTCAGTTTTTTTTTCCAGTAAAACGAATGAACCAATGCGCTTTTCTGTTATATAGGAGTAGTTACCTGAATGTAAAGACCAATTCCATATTTGCAAACTATCTTTTGACAGAGGTGCACGAGTTCAACCACGACTTAAAATATACTGCATTTGGAAAATGAAGGTTTGAAACTTATTCAAGAAACACTTCATTGTGAGATTTCCACTAAACAGTTTTACATAAATGCAACATGTGTTTCGCTGTACAATTGCTTCTTCAGGCGTGTCCAAACTCGTGTCTATACTATTGAAACTCAATCTGGCGGAACACTTAGAAATAAATAGATTTGAGAATTTGGAAAACTTACTGAATTTTTTCCACATCTTGAATATGTTTTATAATGTGGTTGTTGATTAGTTTATTACACGTCCATTTAATGAGTTGGTAAAATTTTCTTTGATGATGTTTAAATGAGTTTTTACCTAAACATAGGTAAAATTATCAGACAATAATTAGGTAGAAGACCAGATGATTCAAATTGCTATATTATATAAAACCACTAATTAAGTAAAATTCAGTTATTATGAACACGTCTGAGGAAGCTATTGTATGAAGAAACACGTGTTGCCGTTTTGTAAACTTCAGTGAAAATCTCACAATGAAGAGTTAGTCGACATAAAGAAAACAACATTTCATCAAGTGCTTCAATGAATATTCTGAAAATGTGCTAAGATCAGTTACATGTTCTTGATATTGTGGAAAATTTTTCGAAACTGATTTAACATAAAACAGAAGAATTGATAACTGATGGGTACTGTATGATTATGATTGAGCTTCATCAATTGGGTATGATTTTGATATCATGTGAAACCATAGTCAACGCCAGTCTTACTCTTCTGACAAATTTTTGATTTAGCGATAAATGTTCATCCTTTTCTGACAAAACAGTCGCTATTGAAGTGACAAAAACTTGATAACGCAAAATTAATATCGTTCGATGTCCAAAATTTATTTCCCAGTATTCCGCCAACTGAAACAATTGGACTAGTTGAGTGTCTCTTAGACAAAAACCACGTGAATCCACTGATGAAACAGGAAATTGTAGAGTTACATACTATTTGTCTATCTCAAAACTATTTCCAGTTTAACGGATAATTATATTCATGCAGTGAAGGACTAATAATGGGGAACCCTTTGACTCTCTTGCTGGCTGAAATTTTTATGGATAACATAGAGTATGAAATCCATAATAATCAGTTAACTAACAGTTTCTTGTACTGGTACAGATATGTAGATGATATCTTGGTCTGTTTTACTGGTACAGAATTAGGCAAGTTCATTGAATATGTCAATTCCATCCACCCGTCAATAAATTTCATCACTGAGAGGGAGGTAGATAATTCAATAAATCACCTTGACTCAACCATTACGAAAAATAACAATAAACATGAATTTGCAATTT